TTCATATCGTACAACAGAACCAACAGGCAAACTAACGAGCATCAAACACGTCCAGCTTCATATCATACAACAGAACCAACAGGCAAACTAACGAGCATCAAACACGTCCAGCTTCATATCATACAACAGAACCAACAGGCAAACTAACGAGCATCAAACACGTCCAGTTTTAAATTGCATAAAGAAACAAGAATATAGAAAGTAAGTTACCAGAGAAGAGTTAAATTGATTTTATGAACAATGGCGAGCGAAGTGAACTTATGTTTGTGTGTTATTTGCCATCCAATGACTCGTTTATAATGTATTTTACAAATTATTAAAACGCGATCGCTAAAATGCAGTTCTAAAAGTATTTGCGTTTGCAATAAATTAAATTTAAAACACAACTAAAAAAACCTATCATATCAAATGAGTGAATTTTAAAGTCAATTAAGGATTTTCAAAAAACGGTAGAGGACATTAAGTTTGAATTTCCATTACAAGCATAACGCATTATAATTCACAAGTACTGATATTCAAAAGTATGATGAGAATATAACGATTGGTCCCTTGTATTAACATTCATTCCTGAATATTTTTAACTGAGAGTAGTATTTAAATGATCTACATCAGTGTAAGTCAATATCAGGCATATACAGTATATATATATATATATCAATGAAGTAATAGCAACAGTTTGTCAAATCTTCGGGCCAACCTTCCCGTTTATCAAGACACAAAAATTACATCACATACATAGAACATAAAACACAAAGTTATAAATCTAAATTGAGAGCGGTGGTGTAAATTAAGTTATCTCAAAATACACATTTAAATATTTACGAAATTGTGTATACGCAGGAATTAAATTTCCCAAAAAAAATCGAGTGATATAGCAGGTGCGTGACACACTAGTACGCTTTATATAACAAATAAATATGTCGTTTTTTCACGGCAATAAAATTCCTGTAATTAAACCAAGCAGACACAGATAATAAACTTAGATTCTTCGGCCAAGTTTTACCAGCACGATTCCTTAAAGTATGATAAAAGAAGATGGTATATTTGTGAAATGATCGCAATGGACGGAATGATAATCCTATCGTTAAAGATATTGTCCGCCGCTTTTTATACCGATAAACAGTTTTAATGGTTTAAGTCAAGGTTGAATCACGCTAGTCCAGATACCACACAACATTTCCTTTCATGTAACATGCCAAAAATATGTGTTTCTTCGACCTCAGCTTATGTCTTGTCTGACAAAACATGATAAAAAATGGACTCGTAATATTGTCATCCGTCCACATTATCATTTAACGATGTACCTTGATAGACAAATCAGCGAAAGATAAATTTTACACGGAGACTCCTGAATTCGGAACAAGGAAAATAAGACCAGGTATTGCGGAAGATTAAGCGCTTTCTGCTTCATCGGCGACATCCGCCATGTGAAAACTTGGTAAATCCAAGTAAGCAATATCACATTCCTAAATGAGAACAAGGTATACGACAATGGAACGAACCGGCATCAAACACGTACAGCTTCACATCGGACAAAGGATTAGAATATTCATTAATGAAGTTACTATGACGACCGTAAAACGATCTCATAATTATCATCAACTTGCGTTTTTGGAAATACCGTGTTACGAATTTGTCCATTAGTTGACGATTCCTTGCACGAAAATCGTGATGTAGGAACAGATCCTTGAATATCGAATCAAATGCGACATGAAAATATCATAGGTTAGAAATGCAAGAATGTTACTATCCAGAAATGAAAAAAAAATCACGCTCGGGAAATTAGAATCATCACGCTTATCATACCGCTAAGTGGAAAACTGTCCATGTTGGTTTCGTCTAAGGAAAAGATAAAGTGCTGATGTAGAAGAGTCTTCAATGCTATTCGATAAGCATTATCACGTAGTTGAGGTAATTACGACAACTTTTGAAAATGTATAAAAACGAACTCCCATGTTTCTCATGGTTGTTAAATATTCACGTTGTTGTTTTCCTCTTAATTTTAAAATCTCATTTATCTTCTGATATTTCGCCTCCCTGCTTATCTTGTTGTTACGCTATCTGTTGTAATGTTTACTCAGTTGTATCGTGCAGTTTGTATCGTTTGTTGGCACTAATACATCAAGGTGTGCCGAAAGAGTAAGCGTCTTCTGCTTCACCGACGACACCGCCATGTAAATCTTGGTCAATCGAAGAAAGTAATATCAAGTAAGCATTATTATGCGTTATGTTCAACCCTCTGACCAAACCGTTTCGTCCTTTGCTTCAACATATGGCATGTTGATCTTATTCCCAGTCAACAAATATAGATTATACACTGGCTAGCTCGGCTCACTGTTTCCCGGCACATAAAAGTATGCCTCGTGTATAAATCGTGTAAATTATATCTTAAATATTCTTTTCAATTTTATTCGTCGGCAGTAATTCCTCGTGGTCCTAACTTGAAATTGAAACAATTTTAACCTTTATCATCAAATCAAGAATGTTAACATACATCTTAAAGTGAAATAAATCTATTCAATCTATATTTTTTTTTACCATTTCTATCTATATTTTCTTGCTGTTTTGGATTTCATCAATCAGTATTGTAAGAATCAGAAATGTTATATATCAATTTTACAAAGAAAAATCCCAGCAATATTTAGAAGCGATATCAACATCCCCTTCTTTTGAATGAAGAAATTCATCGATTGAAATGAACGAAAATAAAACAAAAATTCATTCTTCTGTGCTTTCACATTTGATTTCCCTCGTGTACATAGTTGAGTAGCCGTACAACATATGCCATGACAGACATATTGAATATTTTATATTGCGGCACACCGGTAATGTACTTCCACATTCAAATAATTACTTCATTTAAAATACTATCTTTTGTTGATTCTATATATATATATACATGTAGTAAAAATGTATTGCTAATTATATTTTGAAATGAAAACAAAAATTCTTTTTATAAATTTGAAACAAGTGTTTTATAGTTTTGTTCCTTCCAATCAAGCTAACAATGCTTTTCCAGGAATATTTGATAGCAAGTAAAAACCTGACGGTCACCAGCAATATGTAACAATTAATTGTTGAGCTGTGTATCGACCTCTTATCTGTATCATCGACGACAAGGTATAATGGGTAGACGACAAGCAGGCTTTATTATGTACCGTTAGAATAGGTGATCGAATACCAGCGCTTCCATAGACATCTTCAGTTTTACCAGGTCTAATGCCTACCACAGGTGATCACAGTTAACAATGTTCTACAATCGTGTTTATTGATCCAAAGTCTTTATCGTAGTCATGTTGTACGGAGCATAATTAGCTTCAACTTTCGTTATCAAAATCAACAAATCACTGACATATTACTGACAAGGAATTCACAAGAATGTTGGATTACCCACTTAATACTGAAACGGTGATAGGTAATTGAATTTAGATTAAAATAGAACAAAAATAATGATAGTCATTTAGTTTGTCAGCTATGCGAATTGATGATAAGGCTTTGGATAGGAAAGCCCAGTATAAATATTATCGATTAGGCACCACATAGGCAGACAAGGCCATACCGGGGCGTTACCTGGCGGTCACTACAGGCCTCTTTGGACACGAATACAACCTGAATGTCGGACATTCCTTAGTATCGTGATTTAAATACATTTCTCAAAACCCCCTCTGGGTGATAACAGGTTTCATTAAGAATTTAAACAGTGCCCCCTACATTACCTAACAGAAGCATATTTTATTTGTTTGTACGTGTTTGCGTCTGTATTTTCACACGATCACATTTTTTTATAAGTAAACGTATGTGTATGCACACACGTACCTTTAAAGATGTGAATGCTGTTTTCAATGCGTGTTTGTATATACAAAGGTGAGGCTTGTGTTTGTCCATAACGTGAAACTGGCGCTAGCGGAGCACCTATACAAGGTTATGTACACATGAAAGATTGGTTATTTAAAAAATCAAATATATATACTGCTTGTGGTGTTTTTACTGGAGATCCAAATGTTCGACCGACATAAACAACAGACATTCTAGCTATTGTCGTAATAGGACTTGCAGGCTTTTTATCGTACCGAATGCGTTATTGAGGGATCGACTTACAGGGCTGGATGATGTGTAAGTGTACCTGTTGAAAGTATAGGAATACAGAAGCTTGTGTCAATGTTTGTCTACAGGATATTCTATATAGATCAAGTATAGATTAATATTTTGCCTGTTATTTTGGAGATGAATGAAAATGCAGAATAGCATAGGGCATATATGTTTCAAAGTATACCAAAGGTCGCGTTATATCAAAATATTATTTCAAAAGACAATTATATTTCGTTTTTATTAGGATCAAGAATGGATCGATGGTTTTCCAGAAGTGTTCATTATTAAGATGTGAACAAAATATGTGTTTAACGGTTTTCTAAGAACAATACACACACGTGAACACGAAACAATAACAAATATTGTGACTGGAAGCCAGCGACATTGTAGAAATTGGAGTATATATATACATATATAGGTACAAAAGGCGATATATATCTGAATTACCTGTCAGAAAGCCTGTATGTTAACGCTGTAAACTTGCCCGAACAAGTTTCTCCGATGTCTACTGAACATATATACGGAAAGTGTATTCATATATTGACAAACGACGGTAGATGAAATTAACCGGCAAGCACGAGGATAAATTCTTACCACCCGTATATACATAGATTGGCAACGTTGTGACTGTACTAGGTATTAGAGCTGTGCACCTGCTGTTATAGAATGGATTTAAGTATAGCCTGTCCTACATATACCTACACTACAAAACTTAACTTTGTGTTAATCGGATGAAAAACGGATCAACAGTCAGAGAACCGAAGAGCAAAAGGTGAAATCATTGGATTTATTTGGCTGTGAAAGGATTACAGTTCATTGCTTTGCAATACAAAATAACATGACTAGTAAAGGGATGGTTCGTCTTCCATAAGGATCACTTTAATTTTAAAGTGAAAATTTAATTCTACAAAATGGCCAATGGTGACGGGGATTCTATCGGGCCATTGTCGATGGTCTGGAAAGCGAAGTGTCCGAGGGAAGTTCCAGCCAAAACACTCCAAACCTGGCAGCCAATCGACGAAGAGGTCGATGACGTTTTTCACATGCAGTCATCGATGTCTTCAGAGCCACGGTATTTAGATTATAAAAGTGATGAAGGTTTTGATGTCAGCAATAACGAAGATTCATTTCTCACTTATCAAACTGGTTTAACGAATGGGAAAGACGATATATCGTCTTCAAAGTTCGATGAAAATGCCGTTGAATCTAATGATAGCAACTACTCTAGTGAGATGGATTTAAGTTATGATTCCACGATGCCTGAGATTCAGGACACTCTTTCGGATGTTCATAAACTGTCACTAGACGAAGAGGACACCATTAAACCTGTTCAGCATTCGGAAAACTTTACAGAACGACCTGTCAACTCAATAGAGGTCACACGGCGACAAATTGTTCCAGTAAGACCTCATATTCGTACACAAAGTTGTCCAAATCCTATGGAAATTGAACTAAGAAAGGACCCCAGTCTTAATTCTTCAGTGACGTCACAAGGAATGACGTCACCTGACGAGACAACAGAAGAAGCTGTGAAATTGCGCGACGTTACACGTGCTGCTCGATCGTTCTCACGCCCCTTAATGAGGGGGAAAGCAGAGGAACACGAGACGGATAATGACGTGGAATGCAAAACCTATAAATTTATATCCGTTGAGGTACCTAAACTACCTCCCCCACCAACTCCTGAGGAAGATGAAGAAACTATAAAACCAAAAAACGAATTCCAAATACTGACGGACATTACCGCATTGACCAGAAAAGCTACAAGACCTAAGATTAAAGATTTGGACTTTAAGCCGAAATCGACTTTGAAACGATCAAAATCTGTAATGCAGGTGTCTTCCCCTACTGTTCCTGCCTTGTCTCCTACAGGGTCACCGATGTCAAGAGGTCGTAGTTCTTCATCTACCTCACCGTCCGATTATATGTCGTACGCTTTTACGTATCAAACAGACGAAGATGCATGTTTTAAGTGTGGTAAAACAGTGTACCAACTGGATAAAATCGGCCCTATCAGGAAAGTTCTTTTTCATAAACAGTGTTTTCGTTGTTGTATATGTGGATCTGCACTGACCGTCAAAAACTATTCTCAGAACTTCAACGATAAAAGTGACAAACAGGTTTACTGTAGGAACCATAAGCCAAGTGAAGGAAAGGGCTCGGTAAGTCTAGATGACCGAAGCCTAAACGTAATACTTAACCACCCAAAACTAGACACCCATAACAACACGATAATTAGAGGGCCAGAGGGAGACAGAAAAAAGACAACCCCTCATGGCTTCCGTGGGGCCGCTTCTACGCCAAAGCTTGACGTTGTCTGTAAACAGTGGGATGAGGTGAACAAGAGTTTTATGAACAGGTTAGAAGAAACCTCCCCCAGGGGAAGGCATGATGTATTAAAATTGAGCCCTTCTGAGGCACGGTCAGTGTGGTCAAGGTCGGCCATGGGTGCTGCGTCACTGGATTTTGGGACTCCAAACCCACGTAGGAATATTCATCATTTTTACCAAAGTCACAGGTCGAACACCAGTTATATGTGATAGTAAGTATTGTTAGTACAGCATGGGGATGGAGACAGATGCGATGTTTGAACGTTTAGTGTTAAAATGAGTACACATATGTTTCAAGTGAGAATGCCGCTCTAGATATATTCTGTTTTTTGGTACCGTTAATATTCAACTGTCACTACTTTCTCTTTTTTTTTTTTACTTTTTGAAACAGTAAATGGTTAAAAGAACAACTAGAATACTTATTTACCGTTAAGTTTTACTGATTAAGGAGAGAGAATGTGATATTTGTAACAGAGAAACTTGTCTTAACCGATAACAGTGGGCTTACAGTTTTGGCCTAGACAGCGTTTACGCAAGATCAGGATAAAAAAACTAACATTATGAATTCGGAGGCCTTTATGATATTGTAAAGGATCAGTTAGGCACAGGCAATAAGAAAAATGACATTCACTGTCAGGAAAGTATTGCAAATAATGACAGATGTCTCCGTGGTGTCGGTAAAGCCAGGAGTCACATCACATGAATTCGTACTAAATCTAAAATTCAGCGTAGTAAATTTTTTTATGAATTGTATTTAAATGTTTTTGAAAATTTGTGTTTTTTTTTTATAAAAGCAGTAAGGTCGATATCTTAACACACCCAGTACTTTAAATACCCAAGAAGAATTAGCGCTGAAAAAGAAAATTAAATAACTTAATATTGACTTCATTTGATGAATTTTAATATGACAAGAGATATAACAGCAGTTTAATATTCCACTGAGCATGAATGTAACGTTCATGTATCCATATGTTACTCGAGAAGACATAGAAGACATATTACGTAATACTAGCCAATAATCTGCTGTTTAATCTACGATTTTTTCGGTAATGTAAGAGTTTTAAATACTCTCTTTCATAGACTTCATTATTGGCTCAATGCCGAGAAGATTGATTTGTACAGACCCTGGCGAGCCCTTCTGTTAAGCATTGTTAGCTTAACAAAAAGAAAAAAAATATTATACAACATCGATGCAATCAATATTGTAAACTGACCAGTCCGTGTGTTGGTATCTTATTTAACTACTGAAAAAAGTCATTTAATTAAAAGATTTGATTTAGTATGCAGCATTGTCAACTTAACACAGAGAAATGATAAAAACGTTTTTAGCTACACACCTTTTAAAAATAGTGATCTTGATAACTTTGAAATATCTATATTAAAATATGTCGTATTGATTGATATAAACAGTTTGTTTATAAACTATATGTTAAACCTTAAAGCTGTTAAAACTGAATATTTTATTCCAATCACGGTTTCGCAAATTGAAGAAGGTATCAAATTGAGCACAGCCGATCCCTGCACGCGTGTATAGTAAATTCGCTGTTGTCTTGGACATGTCTTTTTTTTCATATAATGCAATATCTATTCAATATTCATAATACATACCCAGGCCTCCAAATATACTCAAAAGCAATATCCCCGTAATTATATATTTACATATTCTTTCTTATATTGAGTTTGATATACATATTATATATAAGTTTGACAGTATACATGGAAATGTATACCCTGGTAAGGTTTTTGTTCAAATATGCTCTTCCTAACAGAAATTCAGTAAGCACTCTTTTGTCCGTGACTGCTATCGTCATAACGCTAAAAACAATTTATCAGGTGTTTATATTTAAGTAATAAAAATTGATGGTAACAAATAATTTTCTTTGATACGTTTAATTTTTTAAAAAATGCGTTTTTTCTTACTTCATAGAACTCATTTAAAACTGTGTGTAGATTTGTAATGTAGCATTCCATGGTAGTTATCAAGAAAACTGAGTGAAGATAAATCGATGATATGTCTATATGACCGTGCGCATTCCTCTAGCCCCTCCTGTGCGTTTTTATTACATCATAAATTATTTATCTGCTCTCGAGTGTTTGGCACTGTGTATTTAATGCAATATTCGTATATATACAGACATGCGCAGTACTCTCTGTAGGTATGAAGGTTATCATGTATGGATGTTAAAAAGGAAGTTTTGTTAAAACAAGTGTAACTGGCCCAGAGTTTGTATTGTACACAAACCACATTTTTTTAAATTTCCTAACCTAAAATTTATTGTTACATAACAAAATATATTATTGTATATGGTCAATTAATACGGATGATTAAAGACAATTATTATATGCAAATTAAATTTATTGTATTAATATTACGGGGTTGGTTTCTTATTTCAGCACTGGATAAAAAAAAACTTTTAAAATATTGCGGAATAATTTTACATATCAACACCTGAATAGATAAATATTGATTACACAGGTACAGGGTACTTTAAGTCACACAGTAACTAATACTGGGTGATACACGTATCTGTAATGAATAACTCGGAGTTATCAAGCGTGCTTAACTTGAGACGACAAGCATGACTTTTTATTTTCTGAAATATACGACTTATAAATATAAATCGGAGGCGTCACCCTGTCTTCAAAATAGAACTACTTGTATATATTATACCAGTAATCCAATCAGCTGCTGCGAAATAGTCAAACTATCGTGCTGGTATGTATTAATATTTATGTAAAATTACTTAACGTAATTGTTGTGTATTTTGATAAGGATGTACCATCCCGACATCACGGGTTTTATGAATAAACGGCCTGGCTGTTATCTTCTTTAGACAAACATAGGAGAAGGCTTGTGAGTTGATTAATAATTACCAGCTTTATGGTAGTGTACCACCTCATCAAAAATGACCAGCCATAGTGTACCTCTCCAACTTAACGACTTTGGTTTTCCTTTCACGTGTCTTCTAATTACCAATGAGCCCAAGAAAAACGGAACATCTGTATTAATTATCGTGAAAAATAAATGTCATATGCTTTATCTGAAATGAGGTGCATGCGTCATCAAGGTAGCATACATCCTTAAGCCTTATTTGACATATAATTCAACATGTACAAGTAATTTTCGTGGTATTAGTTCTATACAGGCGAACTTGTACTTGTATTTTGTATAAAAGTTCAAATGGAATTATCTTATACTTTCATCTCCTTTAAACGTCTGGTTGAAATTCAATCCCAAAATCGATCAGTGGTCAAAATTGGTTTTAAACCTTGATCAGGTTTACTATGAAAACTGAAGTATCAGATTACTGATGTCATAGGTTTTCAAGGACCGGGGTTTCTCTGTTATTGTTACACACTATCTTTAATTTCTTCATTATAGCAAGAGTCAAATTTCATAAATTTATAAATAGACCTCTGTTCGATATTTACATGAAATTCACAGAATATTCACCAATCCTGGTAGTTTTAGTGTATAATTGTGGCATTCATGTTGAGGAATACGGAATGCGGATTAAGTAACATATATGTACAAGTACCTGTTGATATCCTGAGCCCTACAACTATAAAGCAGGATATGTTTTGCAATGTTCTACGTGCACAGGTGTTCATTACACCCCATAAAACAATAAACATTAAAGTGCTTTTCCTGTTTTCCTGATTTCCCGAATTCTTTTTATTTGTAAAAATATCGAATTTATTAATACTTTAATGTTTAATTTTACACAATTTCAAAAAAAAAAAAAAAAAATGATATTGGTGCAATGTACAACGGGTTTCTGGTATTAATACTCGTGTTTGAGATCGAAGATAAGTCACTTTGAATACGATACTGTCAAACTTCGATATTACGAAGTTCAGGGGACTACCAAAAGAAAAACTTCGATACATCGAGACTTCGAATCATGCGAGGTGGGTTATATCGAAGTTTTCATGTTCATGGCTATATATAATTGATGACACGATATTTCTACATGAACAAACACAGCAAATACAAACAATACAAAGCACAAATTTAAATGAAAAAAAAAATGCATTTTTATCTTTAAAAAAAAACCCACTGAAATTTGTGAATAAAAATATAGAATTCATCGAGAAAACGAGTAAATTTTTGGCGGTAGTGTCTCTCTAAAACTTCTGGTAAGTGAAGTAAATCATGGTCTGTTTGAGTGTTAACTACTCAGTAGAATTCAATGTTTCTTATTTCGACCTGTTTTGGTATGGTCTTCCCAGGCGTAAGTGCCAGTTCCTCAGTATCATGGTTATGGCATTTCGATGGAATAACACCCTTACCAAGTCACCCTCGAGTAATTTAATTCTCTGTCGACATTTTCGTCATAGGACCCATTGTTGTGGTGACAGAGCAAAGCGTCGTGTTGACAAACAAACAAGAACAAGAGACATTGTTGTCTTCAAAGCACGCGCAGAATGAAGTCCCTCAATTCATCAAATATAGTATGTTTCAGAAAAGAAAGACTTGACAGTGACCAGCTGGATTTTTACCAGTGTAACTAATAACACACCAGATCGAAGAACAGATAAATGTTTATACCTGATCGAGGCTAGAATTGTTTACATAAAACATATTATACATTGAATGAGGAGACAAATATCATTTAAAAATAAGAAATAGAAAAAAAAATGACACTACATGTTAGAATATTTTCATCCCCAAATAAAAATTATCGAGCGAAATTATGTACAAATATCCATTTCACCGAGTTTTAGTTTCTATAAGAAGAATTTTACTAGGTACTTGTAAAACATGACCACATGGAATGCAAGGTTATAGCCTACAGCCCCTGGATGTTAAGATATGACCACATGGAATGCAAGGTTATAGCCTACAGCCCCTGGATGTTAAGATATGAAATATACAGCCCCTGCCACATAAATGCCATAGACATGTTAAAACATGACCACACGGAAAGCATGGTTGTGACCCACAGACCTTGGATGTTAAAACATGACCACACGGAAAGCAAGGAAATGACCCACAGACCTTGGATGTTAAAATGGATCACACGGAAAGCATGGTTATGACCCACAGACCTTGGATGTTAAAACATGACCACATGGAATGCAAGGTTATAGCCTACAGCCCCTGGATGTTAAGATATGACCACAAGGAAGTCTAGAAAATGGCCCATAAACCATGAATGTTAAAACATGACCACACGGAAAGCATGGTAATGGCCCACAAACCTTGG